TTTTTTTTTTTTTTTTCTCCAGTCAGTACAGTTGAATTCAACTCTTCTTCTGGTGCCAAAAAAGCATTCGTTACACCTCAACAAAAGAGCAGAATGTAAAATCAGATAACTCTAAAGTGACGCAAGGTTATCAGAAATCCAATCCAGAAAACGTCCCATCTCACTCTTTTGACAACTAACAATGCAAATTTGCTTCTAAAAGAGCAGCAGAATTAAGCTGGATGCCTTGAATTCGACCCTCGAAAATCAATATACAGGGAATTTACACTCACCTTCACTATATTTATAAAAACATCTAGGGAAATTTGCTGGGAGGGAAGTCTAAGAACACTGTATCAAACCAGTCCAACACCCTGATAAAGGGTGATAGGTACCACTTGAGCTACACAAGCTCATGGTACTCACATTGACTATAACTACTTACCAGCTCAATTTTCAAGTTTCAAGGCCATAAACTAAGCAAAGCAAAGCCATCACAGTATCTTCTTGAATCAAAATGTTAATTAAAAGCAAGACATAGAGCAATTTCACACAATCGACGATTATATTTGAACTGTCATCTAAAACGAAAATACTAAGAACACGATTAAAACACAAACGCACACAAAAAATGCAAACCGAATACCTTTCGGCCCGCAATCTTGCAGGATCTCCGACCCATATATAAAGGAGTGAAGGTCGAGATCTTTCTATCAGAACTCCCAAATTTAAGCTTAGGAAATAAAGCCCATGTGCCAGAAGACGAGTTGCAGGCAGAAGATGACAACTCTAGACTCAAAACACCGATTCCTGAATCAAAATTGCAAGAAATTATTTGGCGTCAAATCACCATTTATTATAACAGCCCAGAAAAAAAAAATAATAAAAAAAAAAAAAATTGTTCAGAAGAGAAAATGAGAGATTATTTACTATGGTGAAAGAGGTTGTTGGGAGGTTTAAGAGAGAACCCATTTGAAAATTTGACGAGTAATGAGCCGAAAGCTCTAATGGTCGAGGAAGAAGACATCTTTTTTATGCGCTCAACACGAAAGGGAAATTTCTTTCAACACTATTCATATGCACTCTGTAGCTATTCAGGGGGTGATTGTTTATGGTTTGAATAGTAAAAAAACTAGAACTTTTTAATTATGGTTAAGTTTAAGAAAAAGTTGTATGGTTAGTTGTTAGTGGATATATTAAAATAGTATTTAAAATAAAATAGTTAAAGTTGATTTGATGTAAAGTAGGAGAAAAATGATTGGAAGTGATAATTAGTTAAAATTAGTTAGAATTATGTGAGTGGATGAATAGTAAATTAAAGTTGATGTGATATGTAATAATGATTTGTTGATGTTATTTAATTATATAATAATATTGGAGATAGTAGGGTTGAGTTAAAGTTGAGTTAAATTTGAATTTGAGTAAAAAAAATTACTGTAGAAATGATAAACAATCATGCCCTCAGTTCCCGACTTCCGAGTTATGGGATTTTCGGATGAGCCATTACATTACATTGATGATTAAAATAGAGGAAATAGTTATTTACACCGGTTCGAAACACTGGGATAAGTCTTAAGCCGTTGTATTATAAGTTCAAATTTTGAGTCTAGAAAGTGCGGAAACATTATGATGTGATTGTGTGAATGACATTGTGTGAAAGTAGTGATGTAATTGAATCGATCGAGTTGAGTTTGGGTTGTTCGAGCTCGTGTTCGTTTACGTTCGAACAGTGGTTGTATTCGTTCGTTTATTTTTCGAGTAAAAAATCGTGTTCGAGCTCGTTCATTTAATTGTTCGTCAATTTGAGTTTGTTCGTGTTCGAATAATTTAGGACATAAATTTTTTTAAATATGTTTGATTAACAAGAAATTTGTTCGTTCGAACTCACCAAAAAAAAAAAAAATATTTTTATATTTTAATTTTTTATTAAAAATATTATGTAAATATACAAAAAAATAAAATAAAATTGTATTAAATTAATGTTCGCCAACATTATTAGTATGTCACGTACGTGTTAGCGTTTGTTCGATTATTAAATGAGCCTAATTTTATGTTTGAACTCGATTAACAAACGAACGAGCTTTTGTCGACACGAACGGGTTCGAACGAGCTTTTTTGTTCGCGAATGTTTGGTTCGTTAACAGCCTTATGCGAAAGTTAAAAATATAAAAGCATTCACATAACGTTTCACACTTTTTAGGGTGCGTATGCGACCGTTATCAAACTGATATGGCAAAGTTATGGGACTGATATGGCAAAGTTATGTGACGGATATGACAGTTATGCGAACCTGATATAGCCATAATAAGGTACACCGGCCTAAGTACTCACTACTCGACCGAATGAGGAGTAAAACCGCTTATGTCGACTTCCTATATCACCATGATAGGGAAGTCCACATCCGTAAGGTCGATTTCCTTAAGTTGTTTTCTCTAATACTCAGGTCACCTTCGATAAGGAGAGTCGACGTACTCAAGTCAACTTTCTCCATGTCAATCAAGGACGACTAGTTCAGAGACGACTCCCAGTAAGATGGTGACCATGCAGCAGAGCCTCTTAATGTCTTTATGGATGAACTCCAGGTCGACTTCGGGTATCAAGAGGTCGACTTATGGCCCCTCGAGGGTCGCGGTAGATGACGATTCCGAATACTCGGGAATATCTAAGCTGATTTCATAGATGAATCTTTATGGGATAAGATGGAATCTTAAGCTGACTCTGGTCTGACTAAGAGGTGATTAGGAAATCGAAAAATCGGGTGAACCGACCGGTCAACTAAGGCATTTCAGGTAATTCAAGTAGGTTTTCTCTTCTATATAAAGGGATCAAGATAACCCCAAACATAACTCTTACTCTCTATTCATTCCATGTAGCTGCTGCTCCCCCCACTGAACAGAGTTTTCTTCATTTCTTTCATACTGACTTGAGCATTGGAGGCTCTACGCCAGAAACACTTCCGGCGTTGACTTCTTGCAGGTGTTAACGGCGGACTAGCAGCAATTTGGAAACTGTTCGAACAGATTGGAGCTCATAACCACCGGTTCACTCCATATATAGGAGAAGACCCATCATTTGCATAAACTATGCATTTTTAGGGGTGATCAAGTTGGATTGCTTGTGGGCGGTGTGAAAAGACTGAATATATCCTTCATATCGGGTGTAGACATGGCCAAATCCAATTTTGGGCCCGCTTTTGGATTGGAACCGCCGGGTCCGGGCTAAGGGTTGGCTGGCCTTGAATCGGGCACGAACACATGCACGGGCTGGTTCGACAAATAGCGATTTCGGGCCAGTTTGGTGAACTACTGGTTTCGGACCAATCCGGTTCATTAAAAAAAAGGAAAATAATAACAATTTTTTTTTTAAAAAAAAAAACAAAACAAACAAAATGGGTTGAACTTGGGCCGATTTCAATTCGGAACCAGCCTGATGGTTCAAGAAGTGCATATATCAGGCTCGGAACCGGTCAGGTCAAACCATGGGCCCAAAAACGGTTGATTCAAACCAACGGATATTCCAATAGTACAATTTTCGTTGGAATGATTCAAAGGAAATTCCAACGAAAAATGTTTTGTTGTAATGAGTTTTTCATTGAAATTTTAGAAGGAATTAGATAATTCAAACGACTATTAATTCCATCGATTTTTTACCGCAGGAATTTCCGTCGGAATATAGAATTTCTGTTGGAATTTCTATTTTCACTCATATTTCAACCGTTGGAAAATCTACCGTTGGAATCATCAAAATCCAACGGAAATTCCAATAGAAAACTCATTCCAACGGAATATTTTTGTTGGAATTTTCATTGGAATCCAGTGAAAAATTGCAACGAAACTAATAGCATAGATTTATCCATTGGAATATATATTTCCGTTAGAATTTCATCATTTTCTAGTAGTATGCAAACATACACTTGACTAAAACATGATTCTTATTAAAAACGATATTTTCATAAACTGAAAGACGAGCGCTTGCAATATACTTTTCAATAAATATGTATAGTATTAGATTGAAATGTCAGCCTATAAACGAACTATGAAATTTTATAACATAATTATGTATTGTATTATAAAAGTATGATTTATCGACCTTTTTAATGATTGACCCGTCTTACATAAAAAAAATTAATGTCAAACGGGGGCAAAACGAGTGTGGTCTCACACAGGTGAAGCGCACTATAAGAGGGTGAGCCTAAGTGCGCCATAGCGGGGTTCCATTATAAAACTAATTGGTGGGGGATGAGTAGCCCACTA